TACAAAATATTGCACGAACATGTTTCTTTATCTCAACCTGGTGTATAATATAATTTTTGAAGATTTTGACGTGCCGAGAACCAAAGATATATACTTTATTATACGATTCAGTGAAAAATAAAAAATAAAAGGTTACCTCAACATCAGCCATCTGAAGCAGAAAAATATGAACAAAGGGAAGAAAAAGTGTGTGTTTTTTTTTTTTGCAACACAGAAAAAGTGTGTATATATTTAGGAATTCGGTCAAAAAAACCTCAACTTTGCAAGAATTACCAAAAGAGACATGAATTTTTAGACTAACTAAAAAACACAGAATTTTCATTGACTTTAGAATTAATGAACAATGTTTTTGTTGACTTGTCAATTTAGCACACCGTCAGCAAATTTAACATAAAAATTTGATGTCGTTTTACATGATTTGAAAATAAAAACAAGTAAACCCGTGGACTCGAATGGGTCAAATGGCAAGGTATTTTACTACTAAGCTAGTGACACTTTCAAAGGAGTTACTAACACATTTATTTATTTTGTACTGATTGAATATAAAAAATTCTCCAAAAACCGAAAAAGATCTTTAAATTCCAAAAAATTGGAAAAAAATAAAGATTTTTTTTATAAATTAATTTGAATTAAATTTAAAAATAAAATTTTATTTTTTCTTTAAAAATCAATAATCTTCCAAAATTTTCATCTGAAAAAAATTTTGCTAAAAATTGAGTGCGGTTTTAATTTTTAGCTTATAATTGTAACTTTAATTTTTTGCATTTTCTTTGAATTTGTAAATTTTTGGCATTTTTTAAAAAAAATGAAAATTTTGGAAGATTTTTGATTTTTTAAAGAAAAAATAAAATTTTAACCAACTTGAGTTCGAATCCAGGGGTCTACTTGTTTTTATTTTCAAATCATGTACAACGATGTTGTTTCATCTCATTTGAAAACGACGTCATTTCACTTAACGCAAACATTTAACTTCTAGTTAACACTGTCTTAACTATGGGTTCACTGTATATTAATATGGCCAGTCAATCGTAAGTTGCTTAATGCACCAAGGGGATTTCAATTTCCTGAGAAGGTGAGCGGCCAATTACTTTTCCGGATGTATCCGACCCTCCGAAAAGAGGTTTGGTACACACGAAGATCGGGGAAGATCTGGAGGTGGTAAATAAACAAGATCTGCAAGTGAAGGCTTCGGAGAGTTGGGTTTCTGCGGCACAAGATAAGAAGAGTTTAAAAAAGTATGATGTGTAAGTATCAATAAAGGATGGTAAGCACGCGGCGGAGGTTCCAGATGAAGTTATCTCTGATTCGACATTGCTATTGGAGGATTTCATTGTGGGGAAGTTTTTGGATATAGCTCGTCATGTAACAAAGATCCACATGGTTTTGAACATGATCTGGAGCTATGGAGGTATAGCTTCAAAAGTGGAAGTGTGTGTGGTAAATGCTACAACGAAGAGATTTAGAGCTCAAATCTGAAAGTAAGAGAGAAGGTGTTGCGTAAGGGTATGTGGAATAATGCTGGTTTACCAACGGTGGCTTCAAAATGGACTGCAAAAACATAGGAAGAAAAACAAGAGGAAGATGTGATTCCTATGTGGATTCATTGAGGAAAGTTCCTTTTCACATGCATGTATTCATGGATGGGGCTCAGTTTCATCACCAAATGCTGTGGGATTTCCTGTAAGACTTCACCCAGAAACCAGTGCGTGTACAAATTTTGAAGAGGCCAAGGTATTTTTAAATGTCGATGTCTCAAAGGTCTTACCAAAGGAAATCAATTTTACAAAGAACATGAAGGAGATTATGGTGGAGTTTCATTACCCGTGGTTACCATCGAGGTGTATTTTTTTGTGAAAAATGGGGGCATTCTGATAAGGTGTGTGTAATGAAAAGCAAAGGGAAGGAACAGGGAGATGGAAGTGCAGTTAAGGTTGATGGTCAGAGAGTTATGAATAAAGAAGCAGAGCCTAAGATGCAGGAAAAAGGATTGGAGGAGGATAGTAGGCAAGAAATTGCTACAACAAGTGCAAAATTATATGGTGGGAGGACTCATGAGATTTTAACAAGGTCGTTTGTTTCTCCATCAAAAGTGGGAAGACCTAAAGTACAATCCTCAGGGATGAATAATGATGAAGTTATGATATCTGCTTCTAGGTTCTCTATTCTTAGTGATAAAGCGGAGGAAGGAGAATTACCGGAAGAGGTGCAAAAGCAAATGCACTGTATACATGTCAAGATAGTGAACTAGAAAGAGAATCTGATTCTAGATTACTGGAGAATAATATATTACATCAGCAGAGTAAAGAGAAAAGATAAGACTTTTCATAAAAAGGAAAGAAAAGAGGTAGGAAGACTAAAGCTCAGGATGCAAAGATAAGACATGTATACAGTCCAGCAGAGTAAAGAGAAAAGATAAGACTTATGAGCACAAGGTCTTCTTGACATCATCATTAATATGAGTTTCTTCTGGAATGTGCGTGGATTCAACAAACCTTTAAAACATTATGTGGTAAAAGACTGGATTACTAAAAATGATATGAAGTTTAGGTATATATTGGAGACAAGGGTGAAGGAAAGTAAGGCAGACAAAAATTAAAGACGGTTTTTAGAGATTGGAATTCTATGACTAACTATGAGCATAGTCAAGGAGGTCGAATCTGGTTAGTTTGGAGAGATACAATTTGTATAACTCCAGTTTACAAATCTGATCAAATGATTACTTGCTCAGTGGGGATGGAAGATGAAGAAGATTTATTTTGTACTTTTGTCTATGCAAGTAATCTGGTGGAATGTAAGGAGTTGTGGGAGGATCTTTATCATCGCAAAAATTCTCCTTTATTTCAAAATAAGGCGTGGTTGATAATGGGGGATTTTAATGAAATATTAGAAATGATGGAAAATTTGGGATTTTCGGACTTGGGGAGGCTTCCAAGTGGAATGAGAGATATTTAAGGTGCTCCATTGTAATCTGACGGATATGGAGTTTCAGAGACCATTGATTACATGGTGCAACAAAAAAAGGAAGGAGTCTGCAAGAAGTTGGATAAATTGCTAATAAATGATGTTGGCCTGCAACGTTTTCTAAATGCTTATTTTCTTTTTGAGACAGGGGGATGTTCTGATCATATGATGTGTAAGATTCAAATATTGCCGGCCAGTGAGAAAATTAGAAGACTTTTTAAGTGTGTCAATGCTTTGGAAGTCTTCCTCAGTTTCTCCCTTTGGTTAAAGAATATTGGAAAAAAACAGAGACTTTGTTTCATTCAACCTTTGCTATGTTTAGATTCTCGAAGAAGCTGAAGAGTCTGAAGCCACTAATTAGAGAGTTGGGTCGTGAGAAGTTGGTTAATATATCGAAAAGAGCAAAAGCGGCGCATGACTACCTCTGTGATAAGCAGAATCAGACGCTACTTAATCCGAGTAGTAATACTATTCAGGAAGAATGCTTATGAGAAATGACTTCATGTAGCACGGTTGGAAGAGGATTTTTCTTAAACAAAGGGCAAAACTTCACTAGTTAGAAGTTGGTGATCAAAGTAATAAAATGTTTAACAACTCCATCAAAGGGAGACAAGCTCAAAATACTATTCGTGAAATCAGATGCTCAGATGGCAACATTGTCTCTACTGAGAATGAAATAAAGAATGAGGCTGAGAACTCTTTTCTAAGTTTCTAAATCAGAATGTTCGCTATTAAGGAACCACAGTGGACGAGTTGTTTTAGATGCCTAAAGTGTTTATGTGTGGCCACGTGGAGAACATATTAACTTTATCAACTTAGTGAGATGTTCATTTACATTAACTGAAACTAAATTAGTACATATTTTTACTAATTTATCAATATATTAATTTGGTAAAATATTAATCTATAGGGTTCTTATGATACTAACATCCTAGTAATTATCTCTTTGATAAGGTTGAGGTTTGTTTTTTAATTATGAGATCTCATATAAAGGAACTTGGAACTAGTCTGAATCTGTGAAGTGTCCGATATAGTTATTATTTACAATGAATGGTCGGTTATCCAAACAGGAAATGGCCTATAACAGAGCTACAACATCAAGGCAATATTGTTTTTAACTAATTTATATGTTTTTGATATTATAAAATCTCAAATACGTCTAAATCAATATAGTCTAAAGTATGTTAAAGGGATTTGTTCACTATTAGGTGTGGTGGTACACTTGGACATCTGGGATAGATGACACTCATCTGTCATTATTAAGTTTTCATTTTCATACACCTCTCATATTTAGGTTCTTACACTAAATCTAATATTGAAATTACTCTGGTGTTTTGATGTTATAATAACAACAAATTTTACACCAAAAATAATATTGTGTATTATTTAATTTTTTCAATTTTAATAATTTATATTTTTAACTGATAAATAATTATTTATCACACTTAGATATTATGTTTGTTAATTTTTATAGTTTTATGTTTTTAAATTTATTTACAGATATTTTTGGTTCATCAATATTATATTTTATGTATTTATTTTATTTGAAATATTAGTTATATTTAAAATCATAAATTATTAAATATGAAAACTACAAAAAATATATTTTTTAATGAAATTAGTAATACAAGTTTACCTATATAATGAAATGAAAATAAAATATTATTTTAGTGTTCGATAAATTTAATAGTGTTACTCATTTAGTGATTTATTAATTAAGAAATAAAAAAATAAATATATAAAATTTTAAAAATTTGGTGTAATAAATAGTATCACCAAATTTGGTGAAATAGTACCAAGTTTAATGTTTTGTTAGAGATGAATTTACATCAAATATAATGTTTTGGAATCATTGTTGTAAATGCCCTTAGATTGGTGCTTTTGGTGTACATATCATCATTTATCTGTGGTCAGCCTCTGTTTATGACCGGGAGAGAAAGGTGAAACCTTTCTTTAACTTCTGCTTCTTAACTTATGGATACTTAGTTAATACTATGGTAGGGGGAATGAAAAGTTGAAAATATACTACAAAGCAAACTCCCATGATATATTTATTTTCATTAGACATTACAACAATCATACTCGCCCCTGAAATGTTTTATTGTTATCCCAAACTCATCATTACCCAATATTTCGTAAACATAGGATTCAACACACACAAAAACACACAATAAATGTTCTCACGGGTTAAAAAAAGCAGTTTATTACACTGTCTTGACTTCACTAGTTTTCTCCTCCTCTGCCGTCGGCTTAAAGTCTTTCTCCCCGACAGCTGCTGGAACTTCTACCGGTTTCTCATCTTTAACTGGAGCTGTCTCAGAGCCATCAGCTTGAATAGTTTCATTAGGCGTCTCGTTGGTCGTCTTCTCTTCTGTGTTTGGTACTATTTTCTCAGCCTGCGGTAAGAAATCAATTTGAGCTTTTGCGTCGTGAGCCATAGCTCAGGATCAGCCTTTGTATTGATGAACAACTAATTATTGTCTGATATGTATAATCAATATCATTTGAATGATCTTATGTGTAGACTTTATAAACTGATGGAATAAAATCTTTAATTACCAAATACAAAATATGGCAAGAACATGTTTCTTTATCTCAACCTGGTGTGTAATATAATTTTTGAAGATTTTTACGTGCCAAGAACCAAAGATATATACTTTATTATACGATTCAGTGAAAAATAAAAATAAAAGATTACCTCAACACCAGCCATCTGAAGCAGAAAACTATGAACAACGGGAAGAAGTGTGTATATATTTAGGAAAAGATAGAGAATTGTGACTTGAGTTAAGCCAGGAGAAGGATGGTATTTATAGACTTGATACTCAAGAAAAAAAATATTATATAAGAAAATAAAAACTGTTGAGCATATTGATGAGTCATATATGCAGGTAGGAACATCGGTAAAGTACAATGTAAAACTATCTTTTGATGATGCCTAAAGTGTTTATGTGGCCGCGTGTAGAACATATTAACTTTATCAACTTAGTGAAATGTTCATCTACATTAACTGAATCTAAACTTAATTAGCACATTTTTACTAATTTATCTGTTATGAATGTAAAGTGTGTGTCTTATTGACGCTCCATGAGGAGTATATATACAAGAGTATTGATCCTAATACAAAGGGGATAAAGACTATAGATAACTACAAATATGTTAAGTCCTTATCTTAGTATAATACATCATTATCTCAATACCCCCACTCAAGTTGGAGGTGAGATGTCTTGAAGACCCAACTTGAAGAGTAGATGACTGAACGTAGTAGAGGGAACCGATTTGGTAAGAAGATCAGCTGGTTGATCCTTTGTAGAAATGTGTTTGAGAGTGATGAGATTGTCTGTGACAGCATCACGAACAAAATGACAATCCGATTCTACGTGTTTGGTGTGCTCATGAAACACCGGATTTGTAGCGATGTATATGGCAGATTTGCTATCACAGAACAAACGCATAGGAGAATCATGACGTATTGCAAAAGAGGTGAGTAGACGCTTGATCCATTTGAGTTCTTTGAGAGTGTAAGCCATGGAGCGATACTCTGCCTCAGCAGAAGAAAGTGACACAGTGTCTTGCTTCTTGGTCTTCCAAGAGATAGGAGAATCACCAAGAAGAACTATGTAGGCACTCAAGGAACGGCGAGAAAGCGGACAAGCGTTCCAATCAGAGTCGCAGTATGCAGTGATACGTAAGTTAGAGTCTGCCCGCAGAAGAACACCTTGACCAGGAGATCCTTTGAGATATTTGACAACCCGTAAAGCTGCATCCCAGTGCTCCTGCAATGGTTTCTTCATAAATTGAGAAAGAATGTGAACACCATAGCAAAGTTCAGGACGTGTGAAGGTGAGGGAAATAAGCCTTCCAACAAGGCGTCTGTAAGCTTGAGGATTGTCCATCACAGGGCCGACGACTTTGGCAAGATTATGGTTCAGTTCAGTAGGGACTGAAACTGGTTTACAACCAAGAAGACCCGTTTCTGCAATGATGTCGAGAGCGTATTTCCGCTGAGAAATAAAAATTCCTTCCTTGTTGCGAGCGACTTCTATACCAAGAAAGTACTTGAGTTTGCCTAGATCCTTCATGTGAAAGCAATTACCCAAATAGGTCTTGAAGCGTTGAATCGTAGGCAAATCATTCCCAGCAATCACAAAATCATCAACGTAGACTAATATGTGTAGAATGATGTTGTGCCTAATAAAAGAGAAGTGAGAGTAATCAGCTTTGCTTTGAGTGAAGCCATATTTCTTGAGAGCAGCACTGAGCTTAGCGAACCAACAGCGAGGTGCTTGTTTGAGACCGTAGATGGCTTTCTTTAAGCGACATACTTTAGTAGGGTCAGTGCCTTGAAAGCCAGGAGGAAGTTTCATGTATACCTCTTCCTTAAGATCACCATGAAGAAAGGCGTTATGGACATCCATTTGATGGATCTCCCATTGTTTAGCAGCTGCAATCTGAAGGAGTACGCGTACTGTAGATGGTTTGGCGACGGGAGCAAACGTATCAGTGTAATCCAAGCCCTCTCGTTGACGATTCCCACAAGCCACCAGACGAGATTTGCAACGAAAAATCGTTCCATCAGAGTTGAATTTGAGTTTGTAAACCCATTTGCTTTCAATAGCTTTCTTGCCCGGTGGTAGAGTAGTGACCTCGTAAGTGTCGTTAAGAAGAAGCGCATGATGTTCATCTTTCATGGAGTCTTTCCATTCATCATATAAGATGGCTTCTTTGTAGTTTCGTGGTTCAACGTTGGAAATCACGGCTGCTAAGAATGCTCTATGACACGAGGAAAATGAAGAATCAGCCAAGTAATCAGAGATGGGATACAGTGAGTTACCTGAGACCGTAGGAGGAGACGCAAGATCAGAGAGGAGAGGAGCAAGAGGGGGGTTACTGTGAAGAGAAGCATTTACTACGTAATCCTTAAGCAGAATCGATGCCTTGCGTTCACGATGACCACGACCAAGTAATTCAGGAAGTCCTGGAGATGTAATTTCTGGATGGGGTAATGTAGAAGATCGTAATGGTGTTGAAGAATGTGGTTGAGGAGAAGATGGTTCCGATGGAACTATGGTAGTAGCAGGAGGAGATGTGGCAGAAGTAGGAAGAATTTGTGAAGGAGTAGGTATAGACGAGGTTGTAGGATCGGTAGAAGGTGTGGTAGAAGAAGGAGTAGTATTGGGAGTGGAAGGACGAAGTGGTAGAACTGGGTTTGTGACCTCCAATGTAGTAGTAGTAGTAGGTGTATTATGTGAAGAGGAGACAGGAAGCAACCAATCATCGATTGAAATATCAGGTAGAGACATCCGGGGGGAAACATGTTCTGAGTTGGAGATCCCTGGGAATTGATCTTCTTGAAAGACTACGTCACGAGAAGTAAAAAACTCATTTTTCTCAATGTCATATACATTCCAAGCTTTCTTTCCGACAGGGTAACCAACAAACAAACATCGGCGGCTCCGTTCTGCAAACTTATCTCTGTTGCGTGGTCTTCTCTGAGCAAAGCATAAGCAACCAAACACCTTAAGCAAATCGAAGTTTGGTGGAGAACCATGTAACATCTCATAAGGCGTTTTACCATTAAGAACAGGAGTAGGTGTTCGATTTATAATGTGAGCAGCAGTAAGGATACTCTCTCCCCAAAATGTCACTGGAAGTCGAGCTTGAAAAAGACATGCCCTTGCAATATTAAGTATATGGCGATGCTTACGTTCCACACGACCATTTTGTTGCGGAGTATCAACACACGAAGTTTGATGAGCAATACCATGAGAACGAAAGTAGGAGGATAGGGTCATAAATTCAGTACCATTGTCAGATCGGATTGTCTTGACTTGTTTACCAAACTGACGCTCACTCATAGTAATAAAGTTTGGTAGTAACGATTTAACCTCAGACTTCTCAAGCATGAGATATGTCCACACTGCTCGTGAAAAATCATCAACAATCGTTAAGAAGTAAACAGCACCACAAGAAGAAGGGTGACGATAAGGGCCCCAAACATCGCAATGTATTAACTCAAAAATCTCAGAAGTTTTATTAATACTTTCATTAAAAATCCCTCTAGATTGTTTAGCTTGAAAACAAATCTCACACGAAGTCGTATGATCAACAGAAAAATTCCGAAACATAGGTAAAGCAGACAAAACTTTGTAGGATGGATGACCAAGGCGTCTATGCCAAAGAACAGAGGATGAAGGTTTCAGTTTCTCAGTCCGATGTGCTCTAGCAACGTTGACACCAGTAAAATAGTAGACCCCCTCTCGCTCTTCACCGGCTCCAATCAGGGTCCTCGTAAAACGGTCCTGTAAAACACATAGAGTATCAGTAAAGATAGCTATACATCCTGTTTGCTTGAGTAGTTTAGAAACAGAGATCAATGTGCAATTGAAGTCTGGAACAAACAAAACATCGAGTAGAAAATAATCAGCATTAAGATATAGAGTTCCAGTCTTTGTTGCTCGAGAGTTTTGTCCATTCGGAAAAGTAACCGATGATGAAACAATATCTCGAACATCTCGAAGGAGAGTAAGATCGCCTGTCATATGATGTGACGCGCCAGTATCAATAATCACATCATGAAGTTTTGTTTTACCCGACAGTCGATCTGTTGTAAGTCTGGTTTGCTGATTCTGGAGAAGATTAATAAGAGCCGCTATCTGATCAGAAGAGGCACCGGTATCTGAGGAACTCGATGGAGCAGAGCGAGTGAGATTTGCTCTTCCACGTCCACGACCTCCACGAGCACCGCGACCACGCTGTGCAGAAGTTGAAGACCGTTGTTGTTGTTCCAGAAACCAATCGGGATAGCCATGGAGAAGAAAACATTCAATCGCCTCATGACCCTTGCGGTTGCAATGAGTACAAAACCGATTAGGATCACGACTACGTTGAACATTAGTTGCCGCAGCTGTGAGTGGTGAGGAAAAAGAAGGATCCGTTTGGGCTGAAAATCCAACAGCATCATTCTTAACCTCTTGTGCTCGAACAGTAAGTAGATGTTGCTCAGCACGTATCACGCGAGAATAAACTGTATTGAGATCCGGTAATGGATCTTCATCAATAATCTGAGACCTTATGGAATCAAACCGAACCTCATCAAGACCAAATAGAAATTTATGAATACGAGCATCCTCTCGTTCTTTCTCAAAGATCGCTGCAGCAGGACAAGTACATGAAGCCGTAGGTGTAAAATTTTGAAGTTCTTCCCACAACTTTGAGAGGCGGCCATAATAATCGATAACAGATTTGCCATTCTGTTTGCAATTAGTAATCTCGTCAGTCAACATATGTTTTCTTACACCGTTTTTGATGGAGAAACGTCTTTGAAGAGATTCCCATAGTTTGAGAGCATCAGGTACATGAGAAACTGTTGAGCGCACAACTGGATCAATTGATGTTCTGATCCACCCAACAATCATCGAGTTAGTAGCCGTCCATCGCGCAAGCTCCGGGTTTGAAGTAGGTTTAACAATAGATCCATCCAGAAAACCTATCTTTTGTTTAGCCTGAAGAGAATTCCAAAATTCAGTAGCCCATTCTGAGTAGTTATCTCCACGTAGAAGAACCGGTGTAATTAAGACTCCAGGATTATCGGAAGGATGTAGAAAGTAATGAGACTCGATAGCAGTAATTAGGTTTGTAGTGGCTGCGTCGATAGTCGTAGAAGTAGTAATAGGAGAGGTAGAGGAAGAAGTAATATCAGACATGATTGAA